TAACTTGTCAAAAAAAATATTGTATTGATGTAAATAAATCAAATTATAAAAAAGACAACGGGGATATACAACCAAGAAAATTGAAACTATACAACAAGAATACCCCGTGGCCAGAAATGCAAGAAATCAGCACCCTCTATAATCGTTTATTTTTAACAATAGTTTTACACAGAAAGTGCAGTGGATGATAAGGAACCCCCAGAATGACAATTGAATCAATATTCAAGATGCTCTTTCCAAAATAAAATTATGTTTTTAAGTTGAATACATACCATAATCATTTTTTCAGATTCTACAACAAAGATCTAAATACCAAGAATAACCAATTTTACATCGTATAGGTTGCCAAAGAGTACCATGTATTGTCTTTCTAATTTGCATAGCGCATTTTCAACATCCAATTTCAGAGTATTTACACGTACATAACGAGGTTTGGTCACTTCTGCAAAGAGATATTAGAAAAGTTAGTTCATCCAAATATTATAATAGATTTACAGGACAGTGTCCAAATGACAATCATCATCATCATCATAATCAGGATGCATGACAATGTCAACAGATAATCAAGATTATCATGCATTATTGTTCCCTTTAATATTGACCAATTCATATTTTGATTTTATTAGTCTCAAGGGATATCCAATGAGGCAATGAAGGATTCTAGCATGAAAAAATAAATCTGGGTGGTCAGACCAGCTGACCCAAATCTGGCACCACAGCCAGAAGAGATTAGCAAGATTCTTCAAAATTAAAGGGTCTAATATGTTTGTACATGGTACTTGGCATGATGTTTCTTGCAGCATTTCAATGGAGCTTCAAGCTTAAGTCAGCAGAAAAGCAAGCACTTAGTGCAGATTCACCATAAAGGATGCAACAGTAAAGAATCAACATTCAATTTTCCGTTTTTTATTATATTTTTTAATTAATCATGTAATTTCATATTATTTAGCAGTGTGTTCCTCTGTCATTTAAGTAGAATGGATGGAAAAATAGGTTTGATGCAGCCAACCCCATATAGTTGGTATAAGGCTTGGATGATGGTGATTGTTTCTTTGTCATAATTTAGGTTGACATGCATCACACCTGAATACTTTGGCATTCATTCCACATACCAGTGTAACACACCCAGCCTAGTTAGTTTAATGCAGTTTACTTTTCCAAAATAAGGAGATAAGTTTCTTGATATCTAAACCATCAACCACCATCTCCCCTTTGAAAAAATAAATCCATTCACATTAGTGGAGAGTTATCCACAAGGGACCACCTATAAACTAAAACCCAGTTTGATTACTCAATTTGACGAGTTTTGTGCACTAGTTGCTTTTGAGGACTTGACCCAAATTTTAGAACAGTAACACTTCAATCATTAAATTCGGGTCCCAAGAATTTGAGTTTATTTTGCTTTTTCTTTTATTTTGACTCAATGCTGACAAGCCAAGTTTTTTTTTTTTTTTATCAATAACAGATTCATTCAATTCATTGAAATATCAAACTTTTTACAGCAAGGAAGACAAAAACTCTTATCTTCCGAGTACAAAACATTGCTTCCCTTTCTGACAAGCCAAGTTTTAACACACAAAATACATGAAAGACAATCTTGATTTAACTATTATTTTGTAAAATCACAAACAGGCACTTCCATTCTGATAGTGTCTACTAACATGCAAAATGTATGCCATAGTAATAGTCTCTAACTCGTAAGAAGTAGCCTGAAGTCTAAACACAGACCAGGAGTTTGGTAAAGAAGTAGTAAATCTTCAACTTGCTTCACTTTTTTCTTCACTAAAAGTTTAGCCAAAGCTGATTGTAAAGCATCTTTCTGTAGCAGGAGAAACTTTTCTGCAGCACCCATCAACACAATAGCCTATGATAAAGAATTTAAATCAATTATTAAAGGAATGATAATAAACAGATATTAAAGATGTCATTAAAAATTAAATCCATTTAAGACCTCAGCAACAAAATATTAATACTTATAATGATTTCTGCATTTGATAGGTGTTGCTGCAACTAAATTCAGGATGTATAGTGAAATGAGAAGAACTGCCCACCAAATACTTATGGCTGGAAGAAAAGTCTCACTCAGACTCCAGGAAAAGAAAAACCTTATGGCTGAGACCGTATGGATGATAAATGATATCTCCTAAACACATCCATGACCACTCATTTTATATCAATTAAAAAATTATTATTCAAAATATCAGAACCATTAAGCATTTTGGTGAGGTCAAGACAAACTTATAGCTATATCTAATTCATTCTTATCAGCCAACTCATGCAGTATTAACTGATGAGGACTTCACTTGACATTGTTTGCAGTTGATCAGCAGTGGACACTCTTCTAGCGCAAGGCAGCTAATGGCTCAAGATTGGTCCTCCCTCCCAAGGAGTAGCTAAACTCAATTTTGATGACCGTTCTTTGGGGAACCAGGGCCATCAAGAGTAGGGGGACTCTACAGGATCGCAGAAAGTAGTATCCTATTGGCATACTCAGGAACAAAGGGGACATTAGACATAATTAGAGCAGAGATAAAGTCTTTTCTCCATCTGAGGTTCTTATATATCAGGTGCTTATATCTGGTTCATAAATGGCATTGACGGCTTTTGGTATATTTTCATCATATTACAAATCTTAAACTCCTAGCATCCCCAGAGTAAATATCTTGTTCAGATAGAGTTGAAGATCCGCAATCATCATGCATACCTAGAGGGGTACTTGGATAAGCAGATTTATAATTGGGGAAAATCTTCCCCGAGATAGTCTTTACTTTGTATTTACAATTTTTTAATTGTTTATTACAAGGTTTTTTCCCTGGGTGAGCAGATTTATAATTGGGGAAATTCTTCCCCAAGATAGTCTTTACTTTGTATTTACAACTTTTTAATTGTTTATTACAAGGTTTTTTTTCCCTGGTTGAGCAGATTTATAATTGGGGAAAATCTTCCCCAAGATAGTCTTTACTTTATATTTACAATTTTTTAATTGTTTATTACAACGTTTTTTTCCCTAAAATCCTCACTTTTGATACTTGAGGTGACTGTAATTGTTGGTTTCTTATTCAATGCAATCCACATATCTGGTTACTGATAGAAAAACCCAACTGCAGTTAGAGACAGTTCCTTGTCTTTTAGTGAACAAGTCATTAAATAGGTTGCAAAATATCTAAATGCATAGTAAATAAAAGAAAACAAATATGAGATTTGGCTTTAAAGCCAAATATGTGAAAGAAAATATATAAATTACCTGGCCAAAGAGAATATCATATGTGATTACGTATATCAGTTCTTCTTGCTTCTGCAAAAATGAAGCATATTATCACCAGCAATGGATATATATCAAATAACAGAAAGCAAAACTGTTACCATTGGAATTGATCTCGATAGACTGCACAGGTAGTAGAGATAGAAAGAAACGATATTTGGAAACTAACAATAGGAAACATAACTCAATGATATGTTTACCAAAAAGAAAAAGATAAGTGTAAATTTCAATATTGAAGCATCACCAAACAGTTAAAATACAAAAAAAAATGCCTACATACACAGTCAGTCAGACATACCTTCCACTTTCCATTCAATATAGTAGTAGCTCCTAAAACATCCTTAAGAATTGGAAGATCTGAGAGACAAAAAAAAAAAAAAGATAACAATAATAATTAGTTACCAAGTTTCATTATTTATAACCACAAGTAAATGACCAAAATGCATCTATTAACAGCGAATCACATAAATGAACTCTCCTTGAACAGAACTTGTGTACATTAACTTAAAGCCTATAAGCCAACGATATGAATGCTGCAATAGCTATAATACCCTGATACTCCAAGATACTGCCACTTACAGGCCTTGACCGTCACGCTTTCAGAGATAGAGATAATTGAATTCAAGCACTAATTCTTATGCACTACCGCATAAGTAAGGTCAAGCCCATTTCATCAGAACAAAGAGGAAGAATGTACTCTCCAACTAGAAAAGCCCAAGTGGTCATCAACCATTGCCATGGAGCTATAGAGGCTCAGGAGCCAAAATGACTAATTGATTATGCCTAGGAAGACAAATCCCTTGCAAAGCGTAACATAGATAAAGCAGTAACTACCCAAAGAAACAATAGGTGCCAAAAAGACATCAAATTAGATAATCTTGGGAAGGTCTTTGACTCAGTATCAGTAGTATGTATCATTCTTCCAAACAAACCGCGGTAGTCCTAAATCTTAATTGGACGGTGTCGATGAAAATAGTACATCTCCACACAGTCGAATTTACAATTCAACATCCAAGAGCTCATCAATGCTTACACGTTTTATTAAACATGGAAGCCTCCAATACTTGCCCTCTTATAATTTCACCTAAAAGCACTGAAAATATAATGAGAAAGAGAATAACTGTTACTGAATTCACTCAAGTAGTTAGGATTTCAAACAGAAGCACTGCATATCGACTGTGGGGTCTCGGACTGGTTCTCTTAATAATTTAAAATTTTCTGTATGTATCAGGTATAGCAGTTTCATTCAGACTCGGCGAGCGACATCTCTCTAGCCAATACCAGTACTCTCAAGACTGCATATGGGAATAGACCAACAGGAAAACCGATAACTTACGCTTGAGCGTTTGACAAACAAGAGCGAAAGTCGCTTTCTTGTTTCTGACACAAGGGCTGTAGACGAGGGATTTGATGGAAGCAACCGCCCTACGCCGAGCGTCTCCGTGGAGTACGCAACGCAATACTTTGGCAGCTTCTCTCCGGGCGAAATACGACGACCGATCGGCGTTGCTCGGGCGTCCGCCTTTCACATTCTTGGCAACTGCAGGGCGCAGCCGAGAGGAGCGCATCTTGGGGCAGCCTAGCAAGTGGCGCAGCAGATTAACAGGAGAAGTGAAAGAGAAGACGAGGGAATGAGCCGAATTAATTTCCGGTTACAAACGAACAGATGCAAAACTGAACCGGGTGCAAAATTTACATCCGGTTCAGTTTGCACTACAAACAAATCCGTTGTCACATAATGAATTCAAAATTACTTGTATGAAACTTGATCTTATGACTTGAACCAGCCCAAATTGCACATCTAGATATGATGCCGAATGGAGAATGGAATAGCAAAAGGCTTAGATGATAATGACAATGATTTTCGTTTTGCTCAATTGTTTGTGATACAAACCCCGGGGTATTTATGTACTCCGGTTTGGGTTAGTGAGCATTTATTTAATACGTAAAAAAGTAATGATTATCGGGGTGAAAAAATATTTTTTTGACACTTTTGCACTTTGAGAAGAGAGCATTATTGTACTTATTTTTTGGATACAATTTTGTTATAATTAACTTTTTGACCAAAATTAAGGCATTTGTAGTATAAGATAGTCGGAACATTTAATGATGGGTCCACACCTTTGCACCGATTTCAAACAAACAAGATGACTGCAAAAATGATTTAAAATATGAACTGTATTTGCATTCATGAACCGAACAAATAGGTAAATATGTAGTGTACATATTTGCGTTTGCATTGCAACCAAACACAGCCATAAGGCTACACAACTGGGGTACCCATCCGGATTAAGGAGGGCAATTTTTACCCTACCCATCAGTATTTGCCTCTACTCTCTACTGGGGGTGATCATTTCAGACTGGCCGGCACAAAGCCCAGCCTGGAAAATTCGGGCTTAGGCCTAGGTTTTGTATTTAGGCCCGGCTCGAGCCCACATCAGGCCCACAAATTTTAGGGTCGGGCTTAGGCTTAATACTTCAAGCCCATCCCGAGCCCGGATTAGCCCTCATATATTTAAACTTACACATTTTGTGTATAATTACATATGTATACATATTATTTTACATTATATTATATATTTTATATATAAATAATTATAGCATGACATGTATAATTTATATTATATAATGTATAAAATAAGTTTATATGCATATTATGTCATTTAATATAAAATGATATGTGATGTTTTATATATGAAAGACATTGACCAAAATCAGGCCCAGCCTAACTCGGGCTTGTAGAGACTTGGGCTAGGGCTTATGTTTCAGGCCCAAAACCCCAGGCCGGGCCCGAGCCTGAGCTATAACCCTTATCATAAGTGCAAAGCCTAACTCGGGTCCGACTCAGCCCCTGATCACCCCTACTCTCTACCCACCCCAATGTGATAATTTTTTATTTTATTTTATTTTTTATCTTGAAAGATGGATTTTGAGGGTGGGATGGGTTTTGGTATTTAGAACCCGTATAGGTATTGTAGCATATGGTATTAGGCTAAACCTTGCCTTCCCTAACCTTATTATTGGAACTTCGGGAGGTATATAAACTTTATGTATTAAGGGCTGAATTCTATGATGTTTTGAATTTTATGTGAATGATAATTGATAATATGTATATCTTACATGTCTTAATCAAAATAATTAGAAATTTTGATATTTATTCACATTATTTTACATATTTATTGCTTATATGCTGTGCTTGTTTGTGAAYGTTTGGTGCCATGTAAAAATATAATGATTAAGATGTCAAAATGTTTTTTTAACATCTTTGTATCATGACAAGAACACATTATTGTACCTATTTTTTAGATACAAATTTAAAGCATTTAATGATGGGGCCCATTTTTATATAGATTTCATACAAAAAAAAAGAATAAAAAAAGGGTTATACTTTGCATTCTTTAATTAAAAAAAAAAAGAGTTTTATACAAAATACATATTTGAGTTTGCATCCAACCAAATACAGTATATATTACAAGAGATAATAGAAAAATACATGTTAGTTCTCAACCCAACCTGCGCCACCCTGAAATGCGAGGAGGGTAGGGTCACTGAAGGATTTGCATTTTCTTGTATGAAGGGTTTTAGATTTTGAATATTATAATCCACTACAAGTTTTTGAGGAGAGTATGGATCGAAAGAAAGGTTTAGAGAGGTGGTTGGATCTAGTGTAGTTGGGATTCAATTTCAACTCTCTGTTACAACTAGTAAGAGACCTCATCAACTAGCGATTTGGCAACTCGCAATGATATTATTATGATAGTGATGACGACGATGAAAATGTATATTTTCAAATCAAATTAAAGCAGAATATATATTTTTTTTTGGGGGGGGGGGTGAGGGTGAAAAAATGGGAACATAAGGGAGGGGATTGGGATTAGGCCACAYATTCGATTCAAATATGAACTGATAGAAGATCTCCAACTGGATCAATCTGATAAAACGGATACTGTTTGCAGCCGGCCAGCTGCCATATGGCACGGGTCTAACTAGGAAACAAACCAGGAAATATGGGCAAATTAATGCCATCTGGCGTTCTGGAGGAACCCTAACACTGAGGCCCGTTAGCGTTAGACAGCTGTCGTCGGTCTCACCTACTCGACATGGACTGGTCTAAAGGCTCAAAGCACGAGTTAGACAGAGTCATATAATACGAGGCTGGTCTAATTGATAAGCATAAGACATTAAGACCAATGATCCAGACCCGGAAAGTCTTCAGTCTTCTGGTCTTCCCTACTCAAATTCACGGCTCCGGTGATCCCGACGGTCTCGCGAATTATGACCTCTGACTTCGCACTGCATGGATAGTCGCCCACACCGTTCTAACAGTCTTTTGATACCTTCGATTGGGAATATCTCTTCCCCATATAAATACGGAGATACGGGCTTTGCCCTGACTAAGCCGGATTCCATGGGTAGTCTCCCTCTGCTCCTACCAGGTTGAGTGCTGGTGGCGGCATTAGTAGGATCCGACGGAAGCTTCGCCGCATCTCGAAGTCAGGCCCATCTCTTCGTGATTCATGAATATTGCCCAGAATTTGTCTATCGATATCGAGATGTCTAATCGTCATCCGACTCCAGCCGGAATTTCACCGGAAAAAATCTCCCATCATCTCCTAAACTTCGAACTTCCCGACTACCTGGACTTGAACCAATGGTTTGAAGGAGACACAGCATCTGTCACTCATGGATCTTCTAATCAGGATTTGATCCTTCCAATGCCCAACATCGTCGGTTCCGGCAAGAATGGCAGTCAAGCTGAAGTCTCTAGCCCGAGCAACATGCAAGTGATTGGCTAAATATAGTGTTACTTTCTTCTGTGTGCAGCTTTGGAATTTTCTTTCTTTTCTGTATCAATTAAAACTGGTATTTGTTTTCATGTTGTCAGGGGACGTCGTAGTCGAACCAGAAATTCCGTTCTGGCTAGAGTTGCATTCAGAATAAAAACCGAGAAAGATATCTTAGACGATGGATTCAAGTGGAAGAAGTATGGAAAGAAGATGGTGAAGAACAAACCATATCCAAGGTACAATAAACTTTGATAACTAAATAAACATGAAATATTAATTAGTTTCACGCACGAAAACTGTTTCAGGAGCACATTTGCATAGATTTTCTATAACACTGTTGCAACGTTAAGTCGTAACTTGCAGCAGAGCAAACAGATATATTCACAGTTACAGATACCATACTTAGCAATCCAGAGCACAAAGATGATCATATAAACACCTCCAACTCCAAGCTCCAAATGGGTTTTAGAAAATAGGTTGTAATGATTTTAAAGCCTGTTTGGATACCACATGAAATGAAATGATTTCCGTCGTTGTTGTTTCCTTAACGGAGACCAGTTTCTGGTTGTTAATAAGATATGGGCAGAGGCCCGTTCCAGTTCTCTGGAATGAACTAGGGTTTTGATCCCACTTTCAAAACTTTCAAAAAATACATTAAGGGGTGACAATAGAGCAGTGTACGTGAGGTCCATTGAATTTACTGCATAGAGCCAGCAGTTGCTCTAATTCTATGCACAACATTCTTTCCCTTGTTTTGAATTACCCAACCAGGGTAATAGAAGGAGTCATGTTAAATTATCTCTTTCTTCAATCTTAAGTGTACCTTAATTTGTGCTTCTATTATAATTAAATTAAATTGCATATATTCTATTTAGTCCTAAGGCCCCATTTGGAAGGAGCACAAATACAAAATATCTAGAGCGTAAAACCTTATATTTTATATTATTTATACTCCTTCCAAATTGAGTGCTGTATTTGATTGCAATGCAACTTTATTTGTACTAGTGTAAATTCTTGTTTAATTTTGATTTTGGTTTTATTTTATTCTGCTTCATGTCTTAATTTACTTYATTTGTACTGCAATCAAATAAAATAAGCTAAAAATTTGAAACAAAAATAGATCAGAATTTATACTCAAATCATTTGCACTGCCATAATTTTGCATCCTTACAAATTTATTTGCATTACAATTAAACACAACCTAAGGAAAATTGTATAAAACATTTGTACCATAATATGTATGGAGAGTGTTCAGTAATTAATGCTTAATTTGGAAAGARTACAAATACAAATAYGTAGAGTGCAAAATATTGTATTTTGTATTATTTTGTATGTATTTGCAGTGCACATATTCGTATTTGTATTCCTTCCAAACTGAACCTAAGAAACATCATGCAATAAAAAAA